CATATCAATATTTTAATAAACAAATATTTATATTTAAATAAAATATATATTCTTTAAATTAATTATTATTTAACATATTAATATGAACATTTGTAATATATATAGAAATTATATCCTTAATTTGGAGAATTTTTTAATTATAAGATAAGACTTGTTTTATAAATTAATTATTATTTAATATATTCCTTGAATTACTAATTAATGTTACTTAATATATAGTAATAAAGTAATAATATTAGAAGAAAGTAAAATTGCAGTAAAAAAAGGAGAAAATAAAATTAGTAACAGTATTTCTTAATTGTATAAGTTTTTTAATACATTTTTTTATATTTTTTATTTAATTTAATAAATATAAGATAATTAATACATAGTTATAAGCGTTGTTGTTTGATAATTATATCTTTAATATATTTGAGGAGAAATTTATTATTATAGACATCCTTCTTTTTATATACTAGGATTATTTATTAAAAGTTATACCGGTGTCGTTTGAACCCTCCTTATATATATATATATATATATGAGGAGGGTTCAAACGACACCGGTGTAACTTTTATTAAGTGTTACATCGCTCAATAACTTTATATTAAATGTAAATTTTGAAAATCCAACCGTTAGATTGAAAGTTCATATAACTTTATATGTGTATATCAAATTTTGTTAAAATTGAACAACAACTTGAAGGTAATCAAAGTGTTCATGTGTGTGTGTGTGTGTGTGTGTGTGTGTGTGTGTGTGTGTGTGTGTGTGTGTGTGTGTGTGTGTGTGTGTGTGTGTGTGTGTGTGTGTGTGTGTGTGTGTGTGTGTGTGTGTGTGTGTGTGTGTGTGTGTGTGTGTGTGTGTGTGTGTGTGTGTGTGTGTGTGTGTGTGTGTGTGTGTGTGTGTGTGTGTGTGTGTGTGTGTGTGTGTGTGTGTGTGTGTGTGTGTGTGTGTGTGTGTGTGTGTGTGTGTGTGTGTGTGTGTGTGTGTGTGTGTGTGTGTGAGAGAGAGAGAGAGAGGAGAGATCCTTTTATTTCAGGAGTGAGTCTACCTAGACTTACTCCGTGCAATAACTCATGTTTTACATCAAATTTCATCGATCCAACCATTCAATTTAAAGTTCTTAATGCATAGATTGTATTTGCAAATTTTTAGAAAATTTGAAAATTATTTAATACTTCATTTCATTAATTCAAATTGACGAATAATCATAAAATCATTTTATACATGATTCAAATTAATGAAACGAAGTATCAACTAATTTTCAAATTTTTTAAAAATTTACAAATTTGATCTATGCATTAAGAACTTTAAATTGAACGGTTAGATCATTGAAATTTGATATAGAACATGAGTTATTGAACGGAGTAAGTTTAGGTAGACTTACTCCTAGATTAAAAGAATCTCTCATCTCTCTCTATATATATATATATATATTATATTAAGATGTCTCGAAACTTTTAACGGGCAAATTACTGAATGCTCACTAATCAATACGTATTCTGCAGATAAACTTGTTATAACTTATAACAAGAGGTCTTACCAGAAAAATTAATTTATAGAACGCCACGTTTTTTAAATTAAGGTCACCGAATTATATTGGTGTGGTACTCTAATGCACCGTTTAGGATATTAATTGCTACCTTTTTGAAAGAGGACCAGAAATTTTCTTTCAAGATTTTTCTTCTGTACTAATTATACAGATTAATCACTAGTTACTCACCATTTAATTTTTTTCTTCTCTTTATAAAGGCATAACTTGAATTCCTAACTCTCTTTCCGCCTTTTTAATCTTATTGAAGCTTAAATTAATTTTTGAGACTATTTTTTCGGCTTCTTAAATGCATTATTAATTCCTTCGAGTTCTAGACTGTTGTTGTCTTAAATTAGCAACGCAATTTTTGTTAATTAGCTAACCAAATGGGCGTCATATGCTAATGTTTTGTTTTATATACACCTAGATTTGTGCTTAATTGTAGCAAGGCCTGAAAATCATATTTCTAACTCTTTTGTTTGCATTCGCAGAAGTCAAACAAAAAGGGTGGGGTCATAAAGAAAATTTAGCACAATCAGAATGGCATGATAAATTTGATAATTCACTAGTACTACCTGTCCAATGATGAAAAAGGTGTCCCCAGTTATCTAACAAGATTGCTATCTAAACCTAGATTAATTATCGCCCCAAAAGTCTTCAGTTCAATTGTTATTCAGTTGCCCTAGGACACAAGCAAAAGGGAAAAGAATCTGTGACTTTTATTATTATTCCTACCCCACTGATTTGAAGCTTTCTTCCTCATATTATAGCAACAACTAACAAAGGGACCCTATCGGAAATTTGGAGGAAAGAGGGTAAAACAAATTCTTTTGAAATCAAGATTGAGTTCCTTAATTCCATTAGAATACTTATAAAATGCCAACCAGCATGTTTCATAGCATCACCAGGTAACAAGCTAGGCTGCATATATACTAGCTTCACAATTTTCTTCCCATCAAAAGCGTAGTGTTAAAATCGAATCATAGGGAAAAATAATTACCCGGAATAAAATGATGAAAAGAAGTAGTAAAGTAAAATATTTTAATTTTTTTGTTTAAAAGGACAAAAAAGAAAAGAAAATAAATAACTTTTCTTAAGCCACTCAACAAGTTTAGACTATGTAAAATGTGTAGATAATAAATATGCAGACAAGAATCTAATACAATTACAATGCAAGGATAAATATTATAAATACTAGTAAATAAAAAGGTACTATACGTTAAAAAAGAGAATTTATTCTAATAGTTTGCTCAATTATTAGAGATTATGCATAATTATTAAAAAGTTAAATAGAAAAGATAAATTAAAATGAATGGTAAATGAGAGAAATTTTTTTATTATTGATATAGATTAGCTGTACAGATATAAAATCCAGGAAGAATATTTGTTTTTACAAAATGAAAATTATATAGAAATGGATACTCTAATTAGGGATGGCTATTAAGCAGTGAAAGTGTACTGTACATGAAGTGAAGTGAACGTAGACATAGGGGTAATAATTAGAAGGCTTAGTTAGGGTTGCTTTTGGCGAGGCCAAAACAATAACAATAACAATCACATGTTATAGCTTTACCTTTTGGCCACAAACCTATTAGTGAGCCCATTGTTCCTCAAACATTTCTAGTGCTATAAGTAGTTTTTTATCAACTCTAGATTGACATGTCTTGGTAGGTGGGGTTTTGTTTTAAACCGATTTAAGGCCATGATTGTCTTCTACAGAGTTTAGGTAAATCATTCATTGTCCATGAAGCATGGATTTCAAGAGATATAATTCCTTGGTTTTAATTTTTTTCCTTGGCATCTCAAGCTCTTGTTGACGCATTGGATGAAAAATTCAAAATCAAGATAATTAATTAAGAAAAACGCGTCGATATGTTTATTTTTATTCATCAAAAGTTGATAACAAAAGTGATTTAACATTTATTTTTTAAATTAAGAATCAGAATTCAAAACTTAACATCAACATTTAATCATAATTAGAAGTATCACCTTATCACATAAAAATTATTTGGTGAGAATAAATTATATCTCTTATTAAAGGGGGAAAAAAAAAGGCCGCTCCAATCTCCTATCTATAATAAGAAAAATCGTTAATTGAAAATGAAATTAAAGTCATGACTGAGTGAGTCGTGGCAACACTAGACTGGCTTGAAAGGACTAGAATTCTCGAAATGGGCCTTTTTGTTAGAATTTATTCGCACGTTAATTTGGCCACTTTCCAAAATCCGGTAGTTGTTTGATGCTTGGTATTTTTAAAGCACGTTAGTTCAACAACACACCCAAATTTCAACCTCGTAGACAACTAAAATTCGAATAAGAAATTAGTTCTGTTAATGCATTTCATAAGGGACAGATACATATATTAATAATTAAAAAATAAAATATTTATTATTTATTTCTCAATCATTTGAAAATATTAAAATTTCAACGCTTTGTAATACTTATATATATATATTTTTATTTCTTTAACTTGTATTTTGAAAACTCAATTTAATCATGTCTCTTAGTCAGATAGTTAATATTTGACTCAAGTTCATGCATATGAAAATATTTGTTAGAAAAAAAATCAATATCTTGAAAAAAAAAATGTTTAGTATTCTAATAGATTAGTCGTTGAATTTTGGTCAAGAAATACTGTAAGTTTATTAGAAAAAGAAACTGATATTAACTAAAATATTTTAAGAGAGTTGAACATCATATTTCTAATTGCAGAATAAAAGGAAGACTAATAATTATTTAGAAAGGTTGATAAAGAAAGATAAACGAGGAGAATAAAGGGTTATGAGTTTGGGTCCATAATGATGTTTAGAGCATGAATTTCAGAGAGAAGAATTATTAATATTATCCCATTGATAGATGAGTAATAAATAAATAAATATATGTATATATATATATATATATAGAGAGAGAGAGAGAGTAATTTGGATTAGGAAAAGGGATAAGTGAGGGCTTGACCATTCGTGCAAGTTATTTGAAAGTGGTGGCGGTGGGGCCCACGGGTTGTGAGTGGGATGGTGCTGCTGCGCACGAAAGCCGTCCAGAAATGGCTGTGCACACGTGCACTTCCGCTAACGTAAACAACCACTCCTCTCTTTTCATTACCCCTCTCTGTCTCTTCCCAACACCACATTTATTAACTAAACAACACACCAATCTTCCTACAATTATTTTTCATTAGTTGATACACAATTAAATTGTATTATAATTTTGTTAAATGATTTCTATATAAATATATTAAGAGTTAATTTTTGAAAGAGAATGTAAAAAAAAGGTGTTGGATGAAGAATATTAATTGGTAATAAAAAAATATTAAGAGTTAATTTGTAAGTTTACTATATAGTATGTATGGGGTTGCTTAGTGTAGGACAAGGAGGAAGGGTAGTTGGGTAAATGAAATGATAATTACATAAAGCATAAATAAAAAAGCAAGGACAAGGGTAGGCTAACCGAGTCTTCGTTAATCACATGAGGAGCAAGTCATTGCCGTGTTTGACCTCAACTCAAAGCCAAGCAGCGTTGTACTCACACACGACACAAATACACGCCAACGCAACTCACGGCATAGCACAGCACGCATAAACGAACTCAGATTTCATTCTCTCTCGCACTTTCATTCTCCAACTTCTTTATGCTAATCCCCTTCCCCTCTCATCACTTTTCTCTTTCACCACTCAAGATTATTTTCATCGCCCAACACAAACATGACACGAACTAATGGGAATGATGCCAGAGCCGTTAACAACACTTTCGAAACTATAAACGCTGCTGCTTTTGCCATAGCCTCTGCCCAGAATCGCGTTATTCAACCTCCTTCCCAGGTATAATCACATAACCATAGTTACTTAACTCCCTTATTTCACACCAGTTTTGCAAGAAAAAAAATGCTTTTTTTTTCGGGGGGTTTGATCCTTTGAAGCATTAGATTATACCCTTTAGCCTTGTGGTTCTTTTTCTTGGTTTTTGATATGCAATTCATTTCGTGATCACTGTTTGGTTGAGTTTATTATATAATTGATTGATCTCTTTTCCGAAAAGAATAGATCTTTTCGTTTTCTTTTTTCCCTTTGTGCGCGAGCAAATAAAGTAGCAAACTTTTCGTTTTCAAAAGATGGCAAGTTCATGGAAAAAATAAATAGGAATTTCCTGTGCTTGGTCTTTGCCTTAGGTAATAGCATAGCGTGTAAAGTCCGAACTCATCGGTTTTCCATTGTTTCTGCTTTTAGTTGATATCAGTCGTTTTCTTGATGAGTTAGTACTTAGTAGTAATAAAATGAGAATATAATTTTTCTTTTTTAATTATGCAAGTCTTCTTTTTGGAGAGAGTCTTTTACTTACTGAATTAATTTAGTGAAAAACATGTAGCGCTATATGCACAGTTAAGTGAAAATAACAAAATAGGCCTTCTCTTGTTTTTGGCTATTGAATCTCACTTTTTGTAATCAGATTAATGAATCCCAGAACTTAACAAGGACTAATAACAAAGTGGAAAGGATCTGATTCCTAATACTTATAAAGAATTTTTACTCATTTGATCAATTTCCAAAGAAGTTATAGTGTTTGTCCTGATTCCTGCCATGTATGACTATTATTTGGTTTCTTACGTTTTTCACTGAAAAAAGGGATGCTCAAGGAGTAAAAACTACTGTGTTTGTTTCTTATTCAATATGGGGGGTATCAATATTATGATTAAGGTCTGAATTGTATTTCAGTTTGCTTACAACAATAATAATCAAGGGAACAGTTGTAGTGTCTTCTATGGCTGAAACTTAAGTCAGCTACTTTTGCTTGCAGAAGAAAAGATGGGGAAACTGGTTGAGCAAAATTGGGTGTTTTGGATATCAGAAAAACCGAAAGCGCATAGGGCATGCTGTGCTTGTTCCAGAAACAATCCCCAATGGAGCTGATCCTGCTGCAGCTGTTAGTTCAACTCAAGCGCCTAGTATAACACTTCCCTTCGTTGCGCCTCCTTCGTCACCTGTATCTTTCTTTCAATCAGAACCTCCTTCAACTGCACAATCACCAGTTGGTAAATTATCTCACACTTGTGTGTCTGCCAGCATGTACTCTCCTGGTGGCCCTGCCTCAATCTTTGCCATTGGCCCTTATGCTCATGAAACTCAATTAGTCTCACCACCTGTTTTCTCAGCTTCCTCCACTGCTCCTTTCACTCCACCGCCCGAATCCGTCCACATGACCACGCCTTCTTCGCCCGAGGTTCCATTTGCTCAGCTACTAGACCCCAATAGGAACGGTGAAACCTTTCAGAGGTTCCAAATATCTCACTATGACTTCCAATCCTATCAGTTTCATCCCGGAAGTCCTGTTGGTCAACTGATATCACCAAGATCTGCCATCTCAGCTTCCGGCACCTCATCTCCACTCCCTGACTCTGAATTTAATGCCACTTTCTCCCATATCCTTGATTTCCAAAGAACAGACCCTCCCAAGCTTCTCAACTTAGATAAACTATCTGCTTATGAAAAGCAAAAGTCAAACCAAGGTTCTGGATCTTTGACCCCAGATGCTGCAAGGTCCACAACTCAAACTGGTTTTCTTTCAAATCATTGGGTTTCTGAGATCAAAATGTCTCCACATCCAAGCAATAATCGCCTGAGTGAGATTAGTATAAACCACAGGGTTTCATTTGAATTATCCTCCCAAAAAGTATTGAAATCTCTTGAGAACAAGCCTGCAGCATCAGCATGGACTAAGGTCCTGTCAAAACTGAAAGATGATGCAGCAACAGCTGACAAAGAAGAAAATTCTGTAGAAACAGAGCGTGATGACAAACAAGTCCTTGCTGAAAATCCCAATGATCAACCACTGGAAACCACATTGGGTGGAGATAAGGCAACAGTTAATGAGAAGGATCAGTCCTTGACTCTTTCTTCTGCTAAAGAATTCAATTTTGATAATGCAGATGGAAGAGATAATGTAGTTGCTGATTGGTGGGCTAATGAGAAAGTTGCAGGGAAGGAGGGAGGGGCCTCCAAGGATTGGTCCTTTTTCCCAATGATTCAACCTGGTCTCAGCTAACCAATAAGGACTCACACTATGGCTTCTTGTTCACCAATTTGGCATTGGTTTTTAATTTTGTGCCATGCTACATGCTATATTCAATCATGGTAAATTAAGATTTGGAAGTCTAACACAGTGATGGGGTTCTTTTTTGAACTCAATGGCCCCGAATAAAAAAAATAGTGAGTTTGCTTAATATATCTATTGTAGTTGTTACCAAGTTTGGGTTAGAAATAGCTGTACATTTTTAGCATATGTACCCTCTATGATTATATATGTAATATAGTTGACTGTGATTATAAGTTGACTATGATGGTCATATATTAAATAGCCAAAGATGATGATTGTTTTGATTATATGGATACACCAAATTTGAACCTTGGTCCAAATTTGTGCGTGAGTCCAATCTTCTCACTCAGAGTCACAGGAAACTTTGAAAGTGAATGTTGATACGAGAATTGTTCTCTTTCAGAAAATAAAGCTTTAAAATATTTGCAACGCGTTCGACCAATGTTGGCACTATGCAACATTTGCATTTCACTCGAGGAATCAGAAATTTTCCGAGTGTTCAGATTTGCTATAGTTCAATACAGAATTGACCGATCCAACTAATTAATAATAGGGAGACAGATTCCCAAAATTTGGACTACCATGTTCTAGAGTGAAAGACATGTTTCCCCACATAAACAATTCTACTCTTTGGGTGCAGTCAAAGTTCATAAAAAGTTAACGAAAAAAGTGTGAATGAGAACTTGACGACTAAGATGGTTGTCTAGTAATACTTCGTAGTTGAACGAAAAAAGTTACGATTTAGGGTGTTTAACCTGGCCTGTTTTTATTTATTTTTTTTCTCTCTAATTTTTGACAAAAAATAAGTTCGCTTTTTTCAATTAGTTTTTGCTCCAGTGGTAGCTTGAAAGACTGAAAAAAAAAAAAATAGTTACATTAATCCAAACCAAGCAACACTCACTAATCAAAAAATTATTTACACTAATAAAAAAAAAAAACCAAGAACTAAAAAAAATCTAATAATATAAACCTGTTTTCAAAATAAAGTGACAAATAACTACCAAAAAAAAAATAAAGTGACAAACTTCTTAACAAATGGTCTGAATAACTGGTTTATGAAACTGATTTTGATTCAAAACTGATTTTAACTAAATTCATTTTAAGAATTAATCCTAAATTGAATGCAAAACCGATTTTTAAATATTTTTTTTTATTAAAAAAGCTTTTAAATTTTAAACCAAATTTGCTTTTGTCCATAAACCGTTTTAGAAACCGGATTAAAACTAGTGTAGAAGGCCCAAAAAATACCTTAGAGCCGTTACCCTGACAGCAGAGCCCTAAAATTAACAACTTCAGGTCCAGTCCACCACGACTCTCCAGGGTCCAAACAAAACCTACCTTTTTCTTAGTTGTTTCCGTTTTTTGTTCTTGCTTCATTGCTTCTTGACCATTTGATTTTATATTTAAATATATCAAATATTCTTTCCATAGTCAATCCTACATTGAGCAAGCAAAGTATCAAACATTCAACATTATATTTAAATTTATCTTTTAATTGTTTATTGCAAGTAGTGAGAAACCTTTTGAATATTTTTTTTATACAAAAGAGAAATATTTCTAAAACTTTTATTAAAGTAAAATTTATTATTCTCAACATTTGTTTTCTACATACATATAAAAAATAAAACTCTTGTCAGTGTACATACTAAAGGGTCTAACTATCTATTAGTCATTTTAATTATTGAATTAGTATGTTTAAACTTAAAAAAAGTGTTTTTAAATAAATACTTTTGAAAAAAGTAATTATTTAAAAAGCAGATAGAAGTTACTTGTTAAAAAAGTAGAAACTTCTTTTTTTTAAAAAAATATTAGACAAACACATAAAAAAATAAAAAAGTGTTTATTTTATTAAAAAAACACTTTTAGAAAGAAAAAAAACACCTTTATCATTCAAGTAAAATGTAAAAATATATTATATTATCTAATGGTAAGAAACATTATTAATTAGATTAGATTGTCTTCCTAATTTCTCTAAAAAAAATTCTCTTACCAAGTAGTTGAAAATCTATTAATTCTGTCAAACTTTGTGATTAAACTTTAATAAAATCATTCCAGTAAAAATGTAAAAATCTAATACATATATAGTAGTAAGTAATATTATTAATTAGATTGTCTTACTAACAAGAAGCCAAAAATATAGTTAATTTTATGTAATATTTCTTTTATACATCTCCGCGCCATAAGTTTGTAACATTCGGTCTACTAACTAATATTATTTACAGAAAAATCTAAGAACATGTAATATAAAATTAATAGTCAAATTGTCAATAACAGCCTCTCTCCTTTATTTCATTTCCTGTAGAACTTAGGCACCAAATTTGACCCAACCTAATGTCATAGCAATTCTCCATAGGAAACACGTGCGACATTACCCAAAGATACTCGTCGAGAATATGTTGGTTTTATTTTATTTTCGTCAGTTCTCGAACATGGTCCATTCCGGCATGCCAATATTTATTTTATTTTTAAAATATAGAAAAACGCTAGCAATGACGCAATTCTAGAAGCCCTGGACCAACATCGCGTTGACCAGACCCAAGACTTTTATTGCATTGCTGCACCTTCTGGAGCACCAGATCCTACACTCATGGCAAAACAAAACCAACAACAAAAAAATTAAAAATAAAAACAAACACCCTTTATCTCCTGTCACACATCACCATATGTATATAAATAAACCAACCTTTCTCTCTATCCTCAATTCCCACCTACCGCAGCACATTTTTCTGTCTTCTCTTCTCTTCATTCACACATTCCCAACTACTGTAACACAACCTTTTTTTTTTTTTTTCTTTTTTTTTTTTTGTTGAATTGATTGGCAGCTGAGACGGAGGAAAGAAGAAAATTGAGAAGAATGCCTCCCTTTGAAGGCTCTAAACCGGCGGTGTGTCCGAAGGGGGAAACGAACAACATAGTTTCGATCGACGTGGGTGGTCAACTCTTTCAAACGACGAAACAAACCCTAACCTCGGCGGGTCCCAAAACCTTCTTCTCCCGAATAGCGGAATCTTCTGGAATCTACACGCCGTTCATAGACAGAGACCCTGAACTTTTCTCTCTTATCCTTTCCCTCCTCAGAACCGGTAACCTTCCTTCAAAGGCCAAAGCTTTCGATCTCCAAGACCTAATAATCGAGTCCAGATTCTACGGCGTCGAAACCCTCTTAATCAATTCCCTCTCCAACCCTTCCCAATTCGAACCCTTCAACCTCCATAAATCCCTCCTTTTGCCCCTCAACGGCCGCGACTCCCCCTCCGCCCTCGCCGCCCCCGCGTTCGGCGCCCTCCACGTCGCACACGGCAGCAAGATCACCTCCTTCGACTGGTCCCTCCGCCGCAAGTCCACCCTCCTCACCCACTTCACCGCCGTCGACTCTCTCCTCGCGCTCTCGCCGTCGCTCGTGGCCGCCGGCGCCAACGACTTCTCCGGCCTCCAAATCCTCGACCTGGAAAAGGGGCGCGTGAGGGAAACCCTGCACTGGGAAAACGTCACCAAATCGGGCTCCACCGTCCAAGCCATCGGATCCTCGCCGGAGCAAATGTTTGTTAGCTTCGAATCTTCCCGTAGAAACTCAAACTCCATAATGGTGTACGATGTTCAAAGCCTGGCCCCCGTGACGGAGATTGCCCACAACGAAATCTTCGGCGCCGACATCGATTCGGCGATTCCGGCGACGAAGCTGCAGTGGGTGGAAAGTTGCAAGCTTTTGATGGCATCTGGGTCCCACAGCGGTCCCTCCGGCGTGAGCGGCAACATGCGGTTGTGGGACGTTCGGTCGGGTAACGTAGTCTGGGAGACTTCGGAGAAGGTGGATTGTTTTGCTGACGTGGCAGTTTGTGATGGGTTGTCGGTTATTTTTAAGGTTGGGGTGAATTCGGGTGAGGCGTCCTACGTGGACTTGAGGAAGTTGAGTAGTGGCGGCGAGAGCACGTGGGTCTGTCTGGGAGATAAGAGAAAGGCTCTGAATGGGAAGAAGGAAGGTTTTGGTTGCAAGATCCAAACGCAGGGGAATCAGGTGTTTTGCACTAAGGCTGGTGACGTGGAGCTTTGGTCTGAGGTTGTTTTGAACGGTGGAAGGATCTTCAAGAAGAACTTGATGGGGAGGGTTAGGGACATGGGTGGGGCTAAGGTTACCAATTTGGCCTTTGGTGGGAGCACCATGTTCTTGACTAGGAAGGATCACCAATCTGTTGAGGTCTGGCAGAGTTCTTCTACGGACTTTTGATTTCTTACAAACTACAGTGGAGGAGTGGATTTGTTATTGTTCTTATCAAAATTCAACATAGTTTAGTTGCTAGTTTCATTGAAGAAAAAGGCAATATATTATTTGAACATTCAAATTTTACTAGATATCTAGTGGTGAGAAATGAGAGGAAAAAAATGTGCAGATAATATGATTTGATAAGAAAAATTACATGGAGAAAGATAGGGCCTTGAAAATAAGGAGTGTCCAAAAATTATAACCAAAAAAAGTGGGGTGGCAAAGAGATAGTTGGTAGGTGGTTTACATGGTGTACATATTTATTGTTTGGTGAGGTACCAACCAAGTGGACAAATTGTATTCAATGTTTTTTGACAAATTGTTTTAATCTTTCTGTAAGATGTCAAATATGCCATTCGGCATAAAATGAATGGATGGATGGTTGGTTTAGTGAGACAAAGGTGCATCAATTCTCCAATTCTTTGTTATTGTAGCTTTGTTTTTGTTTATGAAAACATGTATAAACTTTTGGTTATTTTTTTTCTTTTACATAAATGACTTAGTCTTGTATTTTGGTGCATCAGATCCAGAGCTAAATGAGGATGAGGTGTTTTGAGGAGGAAAATATTTATTTTATATGCATGTAAAAAAAATTAGTCTATTTTATGTAGTGAATATTTTGTATCGAAATAATGGTTAAAAAATGGGATGTATATCCATTCGCGAATTAAACATTTTGATTTTTCTTAGACAATTAAATTTTGTACTTTTAAAAAATACATTTTATGAAATGTATGGTTTAGATTAATTTAGACAAGTATTATAATTACATTTAATGATTTATAATTAATTTATCAAAGCTAAACTCATGACACTGTAAATATAAAATAGTTTTTTAAAAAACATGTTTTTATATATAAAAACCTATAACTCCTCTTCATAGATAGCCGTTAGTGAGGGTTCATGAAGTCTCCTACCATGGGAAAGAATTTATATCTATTAGATATACTAGTATTTTGTTTAAATGGTGAGAATTTTTCTTTCTTTCTATTTGATTCCTCTCTTTCTCAATTTGTCCTCTGCCATCAATACTTCTTATGACACCACAGCCACCTTTGCTTAGACCCAGTCATACACACTTCCTCCGTCATGACTACTATTGCGAACATCCAAATCTCCACAGTTAAACCACACCAACTTCACGCCACCTAATATCAATTATTGTCATGGAATCAAACCAATCATGCACAAACCTCATTTACAATCATCACATCGACAGCACCAAATCCACTTGCACGGGCATGTAGCAAGGTCGACTCAAAAATGAATGAAGCCCAAAGAAATTATTTTACTTGAAATGAGAGAAACATAGTTTGGGCCATTTGGGAAACTTATGTGGTCTTTTTGCTCAATAAAAATTAATAGCAAATTTTTTTGTGCATTAATTTTAGAAACACTTTTTTTTCATTTTTTTTAATAGTTTCAAGAATTAATTTCCAGAACTCACGAGAATAAATTCTGGAAAATTTAGAAGTTTTCTTTTCAATTTTTCTTAAAGACATTATGAATTTATTTCTTTATTTTTATTTTTATTTTTATTTGTGGGCGGATATGGAAGACCATGTTAGCAAGATGTACAAGGATGTGAATATATCGGCTGATGGGGCCATGAAACTCTTCATTTTTATTTTTATGTTCGAGTATTTTCATTTCAGGATGCTATGTTTGAGATGTTGCAAAAGAGAATGGATTTATCCTTATTATTTTGATGTCATACACATATACATGCTATAATAAAAGGAAGTTACTCAAAATTTTGGGTTGCAAAAGAAGTGAAAAATGTAGAAGACCATACAATAATGCATAATAGCAAGGTCACTAGTACAAAAAAATTTGTGAGTGTCTCTTTGGGCCAAAGGGAAAAGGCTTTAAAAATGGATTGCCAAGGTAAAGTGTTGTTGTCAAAACCATGACTTCGAAAAATGGTCATATAGGCATCATTGAGGTGCTCATACAAGAATGTTATGGCAATTACACCTATGAATAACAACTATGAGCTGGAAAGTCAAGGAATAGGCCCAAGAAAGATAAGATAACATACGTCACACTCTTTTTTTCAAAATTAAGCAACCAACCAAGTGAAAAAATAAATAAAAAATGGTCTCACTGTCTTGATGTTCCTTTGACCTCACGTCATAAACATCCCACAATCAACTCCGACGAACATGAGAACCCTATGTAGTGGTTGTCTCGGGGGATGCATCAATGTATCTGACTCCTAACATATTCACTAAGTACATGCATGCAATGTTTGTATCCAAAACCAACTGATTAAAAAACACACCTATCATTCATAGGTGCAATAAGAAGGGGAAAATATAATTAACACCTTTATATTAAATACAAATATTTATATTATACAAAAATATTTATAAAAATTTTATTTAATGAGAGAATTTATAAGATTTTTTAATTTTTTATCTAATTTGATTTTTAATTTTTACAAAGATAAAAGAGTAAAACTTCTCTCCATTTAATTTTATTGCTTTAATATTGAAAATATTTGGAGGAATGGAATGAGATTTAAATATTTCAAATATAATATCTAAATATGTTTAGTTATATTTCTAGATTCAAAATTGTAAGGAATACAAATTTAAATTTAAATTCTCTTTTTTTTTAATCAAATAAGAAAATAATTACTTTTTTCCTTTCATATTTTTCATTAAAATTTTTCTTCATCTTCTCTCTTTTTGAACCAAACAATTCCTAATAGTATATATTTAAGTGAACTAAATTGATTCAATATAAAAAATAAAATTAAAATAAATAAAAAAGCGACCACTTAAAAAGATGAGAAAAAAAATTGTATAATACTCGTATTTCAACGTAAACTGAGAATGAGTATCGCAGAGGTTTAATGACTACTGATAAGTTTTTAAAATTAAAAAAAATGATGAAAACTAGAAATAATTTTCATGTGAGATTACAATGGTATGGATCAATTAGCATTAAATAGTAAACAAACATGCCATATGATTTGTGCCAAACAAATTCTGAAAAGTTCAATCGCTAACAATTTTTAGTTAAACAAAGTCATTGATTGGCAAATGTGCAATGTTGGGGCCACGAATCCAACAACAAAAGGATGGGTGAAGACTACGTTGTCCTTAATGGCCTTAATCTTAATAAAGGCCCATTCTATTTCTTTTAGATTAATAAAAACCTAATCATTGCTCGGTCTGGGCTCTTGGGTTGAATGGGACAATAAGGAAGCATTGATCTAACAACTATTTTGCGACATTTTCACCTGTCAACACAGATAATAGTAATATTCTAATAAAAATTAAATAATAATAAAAAATAACACTAAGTAAAAGTATTATGATAACAAAAAAATTCATCAGAAGAAGGACTTCACAAGATCATTGATAAAAATGAAAGCAATATTTTAAATTGTAGTTATGTTGAGTCTAGGCCAACTTGTAACCATTTTGACTAGTTCATATTATTGGTCTGGTTAAGGTAAATCATCCACGTTAGAATTAGGTTCATTAACAATGACATTTTTTAAAACTTAGCCCAGTGAATTTTACCAACTTTTTCGGTATAATTTTTTAGTAATCCTTCATAAAACATTAATCGAGGAACTTTTGTTTACGTAATTTGAGATTTCTTTTCCGTACGTAAGGAAACTGTTAAACACAAAATACATAAAAGAAGAAAGTTTGTTTGATGCTTAGATTAGACATCACTTGAATGATATAAAAAAACATTACATAAAATGATAACAAAAAAGTATTATTATAAATATAATATATAGATATAAATCTTTTAATATAAAAAATAATTTTAATATTAATTTTAAATAAAATTCAACATATATTATGTCTCTATAGTTTATAACTACATTTTTAACAATATACTAACATATATTAGAATTTTAGATAAAAATAATTTTTTATAACAAAAATTTTGTCATTAGAATTTAGAAATTAGGATCTACAATTTTTTTTAATAAACGTATGGATCGTAATTTGAGTAATCATAATGTACCACAATTTATGTGCTAACTTGTACAATATTTTTTTTGTGTTAATTTATTTTATTAATAATATAATAAATAGTGTGATAGAGAGATATAAACATTAAAAATAAATGCCCTATAATTTATTATATAAGTATCATTCCACATCTCAATTTAGATGAATCATTGTATCTGATATTTAAACAGATAGTGTACAGATGTGCAGCTGAGTTCCTTTGGGATGGTATGTAACTACGCACCAAATGCATGTGCCCTTTATGTTTGCTTTCCTCCTGTCTAAAGTTTCCAGCAAGCTCATGACATGTCTGGGTCCGCTAAACACTAGAAAATTATTGCATAAACACCTATGCTACTAAACACCTAAAAGAAAGATAGAAATAGAAAACATATATAAATATGTTAAGTAATATGATTAATAAAAAACTGAAGAGTATCAATTAAATATACATGAGTTATAATTACACTGGTATAACTTTTACTAAGTATTACATCACTCAATAACTTAATATTAAATGTGAATTTTATAAATTCCACCGTTAAATTGAAAGTTCATATCATTTTATATGTGTATATCAAATTTTGTTAGAAGTGAACAACAAATTAAAGGTAATCAAAGCGTTCATATTTTAGTATATTTTGAAATGAATATATTACATTAATTTTGTCTTATAAAAATGAAGTATCAAATCATCTTGATTTAATATAAAATTTTGTATATATGATCTAAGATATATGAACTTTCAACCTAACGGTTGGATTTACAAAATTTTCATTTAATATAAAATTATTGAGTGGTGTAATACTTAATAAAAGTTACACAGATATAATTATAACTCCCCTTTATATATATATATTCTTCTTGTAATATCTGTATCGTCGAGGTATTGACTAATGTGTTTTCTTATGCCATAAATTGAAAGTTGTTGAGAAACATTGAATAATAGTGTAACGGGATGTTTTTTTATTCCTACTATATCCTTGTCAAATGCCGTGGACGTTAAGAGCTAAAATAACTCGAATGGTTTTGAAAAGTGATACAACAATAACGCGAGAACAAAAACAATTATTAATTTAAGTGGTTCACGTTTGTTTTGTTTGTTTTTTAATTAAGGATTTAGTTTCAATTTTTGATTTGACAATAGAATTGTGGAATGATCCAACAAGAATATATATATATATATATATATATATGGATTCATATATATGGATTCATTTATTTCAGGAGTTAGTCTACATAGATTTACTTTGTTCAATTCTCTATTAAATTATAACGGTCTAACCATTAAATTTAAAGTTTTTAATGTATAAATCAAATCTGTAAATTTTTTAAAAAAATTAAAAATTATTTGATAATTTATTTCATTAATTCAAATCAATGTATAAAATAATTTTCAAATTTTCTAAAAATTTGTAGACTTGATCTACGCATTAAGAACTTTAAATTCAATGGATAGATTGTTAAAATTTGATGTAGAACATGAGTTATTGAACAAAGTAAGTCTAGTTAGACTTACTCTTAAAATAAACAGATTTCT